CGGGGCCCCCGGCCCCCGGGGGGCCCCCCCGAAGCCCCCGGCAGCCCCCGAAAACAGGTTTCTGCGCCAAACCCTAAACCCTAAACCCTAAACCCTAAACCCTCGACCCTCTGGCTCCGCGGCAGCGACGCCACGCAGGGCAAAGCCACCCCCCGAAACTCGCCCTGGAGGCCCCAAGCTCTGCTGGCCGCGCGCTAGGGTTTGGGCCTTGCGAACGAGGGGCTAGGGTTTAGGGTTTAGGGTTTAGGGTTTAGGGTTTCTTACACAAACTCGCTGAAGGGGAAACCCGCGTCGCCAGCCCCCGCCCCCGGAAAACCCGCGAGACCCTCTTCGCCGAAGGTGTCGTATTTCTTCCGTTGCTCAGGGTCACTCAGCACCTGCACCAAACCCTAAACCCTAAACCCTAAACCCTAAACCCTAAACCCTAAACCCTTGCCCTGCCCCGCGCGTGACACAGACACTGGAGTTCGCGCCACGCAAACCCCGAACCCCAAACCCTAAACCCTCAATCCTACACATTAAACCCTGAACCCTAGACCCAGAGCTTCGAGCCTTAACCCTAAACCCTAAACCCTAAACCCTAAACCCTTAACCCACTTCGTGAGCCTTGGCGATCTCCATAAACTCCTTTTCCTTTCCTGGGGCCACATCGGGGTGGAGCTTCTTGGCAAGCTTGCGATACGCCTGCAGCCACACGCTCTAAACCCTAAACCCTAAACCCTAAACCCTAAACCCTAACTCCTGAATCCTTAACGGCTCATTGAAAACCCTGAAGGCCTCCTCCATCTGCGCCATTTTAGGAGGCGCTGGAGAGCCCAGAAGAAGAAGTCACTCCACCGAACTAGGGTTTAGGGTTTAGGGTTTAGGGTTTAAGGTTCGTGCCTTGTCAATTGCGCGTTGGCTTGCATTTCTTCTCACACCGAGCAGCTGGTAGTAATCCTTAGACTTCCGAGCTGCAGCAGCAGCAGAAGCAGCAGCAGCAGCAGCAGCATTGCGCGTCAGCTGCCGGAGAGGGCGCAGCAGCAGCAGCAGCAGTAACACGGATCGCAGCAGCAGCAGCAACAGCAGCAACAGCAGCACCAGCAGGTGCAGCAGCACGGCAGCCATCACCTAGAAGAGTCTGCAGAGACAGCAGAAGGAGCAAACCCGGCAGCAGCGGCAGCTGCTGCAGTGCAGCAGCAGCTCCAGCAGCAGCAGCAGCAGCTGCAGCAGCATACCTGCTTCTGCACCGATAATGCCCCCATAGCTCGACCAGAAGCCTCCAGAAGAATGGGGGGCCCCATAAGGCCCGCCTGAGTTTGTGCTGCTTTTGCTGCTGGGGTTGGGGGGCCCCAGCAGCAGCAGCAGCAGCAGCAGCAGCAGCACAG